ATTCTGGGAACAAGACTTAGTATTGTTACCTCAATTGCTGAACTAAACTTGATGAAAACATTGAAATTATTCTTAAACATGCATGCACAGAATAGAGCTTTTCGGTGCATTACTGGAACTGACAACCCACTTCAAATGTTACTTTGTCTTGCGCTGTTTTAAGTGAGCAAGACAGGCCATCAAGAGAGTCCAAAGAAGTTATGTTAGGTACCTGGCGTAACCAAGCCTTAACATAATCTCTTTTGGAGTAGTACGCTAATCCAGGAATACACTCACCACTACCACAACTACTGACGCGCTCCTCCAAGCTCTCAATTTTTTTGCTCATGTCTACAACTTTAGAGGTTAGCACTTCGACTTTGCTACACATTTCCTTGAAGCCCTCATGTTCAGCTGTCCTTGCTTTAAGCCTTTGGTTTTCTAATTTAGCTTCCTGCAATAAGCGTTCCAGTTGCTCCACTCGCTGTGCTGGAGGCACTGAAGGAGTAGGTGACTGAGAGGAAGCCAATGACCCGAGCTCTTCTTGCCGTGTTGGAGCAGAATTTGAAGGTTGCTGTGAGTGTGGCGAAACCAGTGAGCTGACATCCTCATGGTCTTGAAGTGGTGATGTAGGTCCCCAGCTATTACTCTCAGCGAACGCTGAGCTTCCTGGTGTTCCTCCATCATCAGTAAGGACTGACTTTGTGTAATTTGTAAACAAAGAATTGTGAGCTGCCTGCTTATTGTTGTCTTTCTGGACCTGCAAAGAAACAGAATAAGAAAAGGAAATGTACCACATTTCATTAGATGTAATACCACATTTACTTACCCTATTTATTTTGGAATTCTGGATGTTGTCGCGTACTTGCAAAGGCCTCCTTTTCTCTACTTCGTCTAGAGGCTCGCCTTCGACTGCTGAGCCTGACTCAGTTGAATCTACTTCACTCATATCCATCATGTCTGTAGGATAGAAAGCTGGCCGCTTTGTTTTCAAATAATCCTGCATTACCTCGTAAGACTCTGAAAAAAATAGATAATGAAGAAGAAATCAGATCAAGAAGAGCATCGAAGAAGACCCCCTACAAATGTACAATAACTTACCTTTCATCACAGCGATATGTGCAAGCCACCATGAAGGTTTCGCTCCTTCGGGTTGGTTTAGTCTTGTGAGAGCAGCATACCTTATTGTTCTGTTAAAATCATCCAGGGATTGAGGTGACCAAGGTATTTTCGTGCCTTTTTTACCAATCTTCACGTAACCCATCATGTTCGACACTTTCACAATCTCGCGGTTATTTGGTGGAGTCGTATATCTTACAAACGCACACCACTCGGAATTGTCTACTTGATTTTCCCCATCGGAGTTACAGTCACTTAAACTCATCTTGGAAACTTGTTGGAAAAAACTTGTTATTAACAGCGGCGAGAGTTGTGAACAAAAAGGACGCTATTTGATGGAGTGCGGAGCCGCGGAGCGTGCCTTTTCTTCTTTTCTTCTTCTCGTGGAAGTGTGGTGGCAGGGAGGTGAGGTAGTGGCATGCGGCCAGCCGTCCACTTCAATAGATTTCAAATTCGCAATCCATGATTTAAATTTAAGAAAGTATTGCCTACCAAATACAGAACGACTATATTTTAATGTTTTAGTGAGAAGAACAATACGACACATTGTATTTTTGAGGCAATGCGTTCTATCGATAGCTATCGAATACCGAGTCATCCTACATCGATCCCACTGGCAGCCATCTTTGTTTATGTTTACAAGCTGTATAGAATTTAGCCAAATTTAGCCCCTAAAATTCTGATTAAATTGTTAATGCGGAGACTGGTAAATGTCAAGTAAAAGGTCAAGTACAATGGAAGCTCATCGTAGCACTATATATAGACGAAAACGAAAACAAAAAGAGATTGATGGTGCTTGGGCAGCATATTATGCTGCAATTGCCAGCAGAAACGTAAATATATCTTTAATTACTTTCATTAGACCACTTTTGTTGGGCTGTGCACCTATGTTTGTAAATTTTTGTGTGTGTTTGTCAATTACAAAATGTTCAGGAAACCCAATGTGCTCCTAGTAACCTTGCAGCCTCCCAACCTGACCAAGCAGAAGTTATGGTTAGTGCACAATTACGTAGAGGTTTGTTTTCTTTAAATGGAAATATTTTGGTACTGTTTTTAGATGTGTATAATTTGTTACAGGAGGATGTGAGAGCCACTGATCCCAGCACAGTTGACAATTTATGTAACGCTGATTGGTTGGATGTGTGTATGTCTGCCCCAGAAACCGAAGCTGCCGCTGAATGTGAAATACCTGTCTGCAGTGAGGAACATTACAAGCAGAGTGCAAGTGTTTTCTCTGTTTCTCAAACGCACAAGAAGACCCTGTGCCCTGATACTGAGATTACAATTAACGACATTGTTCTTATGGTTCTTTCTATTGGAATTAGACACAATCTGACGTGGCTTGCACAATTAGACATTCTTAAATTAGTTAAAGCTATTTTTCCCGAGCAGAAAATTCCACTGACTAAACACCTCTTGATGAAACGGGTCAGGAGGGATACTGTTGGTGTTAAGTACCATGTCTTTTGTCCTGAGTGTGAGGCATATTTACAGCCCCGGAACACACTCCAAAAGTCAGTTAAATGTCCCTTTTGTTCACAGCTATTAGATGTGAAGGGAGCAGCCAATTATTTTTGTTCCATATCAATTAGAGACCAGTTACGGGATCAATGGGAATCCAGGTGCTAGAATTCAGGAAGAATCGTAAAAAGGTAAAAGAATCGAACATTGAAGATATTTTTGATGGGTCGCAGTACCGTCTCCAATGCCAACCAGGATTCATATTGTCAGATCCTAATAATTTTTCATATAATTTTTTTACTGATGGGGTACCTATGGGACATTCAGGAAAATCAATATGGCCAATTTACCTTATGATAAATGAATTGCCAGAAAAAATTAGAAACAAATATCTGATTTTGGGAGGGCTTTATGTAGGTCCCAAAGAACCAAATTTAAATGTTTTTATGAAACCTTTTGTGGACGAGGCCAACAAGCTGTCCAGTGAAGGTTTCACGTGGACCAATAAACAAGGTCTCAGTATTGTTAGCAAAGCAATACCGATGTGTGCAGTTGCTGATGGACCTGCTCGGGCTAGATTATTAAATCAGCAGGGACATTCAGCGTATTGGGGTTGTACATATTGTTACCACTACAAGTCAAAGCCTAACGGGAGTAGTGTCCCAAGGTATCTCATTCAATGCAATGTTAATGACAGGACTAAAGAGTCAACTGATGAGGACATTAAACTTGCCGAAAAAGTCCAACATCTACCCAAAAAATCTGACAGACAGCATCGAGGTGTGTATGGTCCATCCAGTATATCACAGCTGAACCATTTTGATATCACTAGAAATGTGCCTGTTGACTATATGCATTGCCTGCTGTTGGGAGTTGCTCGTGCCCACACAAATTCTCTCCTGGATTCAGAAGGAAAGGGTAAATTCTGGATTACTAATCAGCACCATCGTAAGTTTAGCATTGAAGATGTTACTGCTATCATAGATGATCGTTTACTTAAGATAAAGCCTCCAAAGTCAATAACTCGTCCTCCTCAATCTATAACTAAACGTAAGGGTTGGAAAGCCTCTGAGTGGAGGTCATGGATTTTATTTTACTGCATTGTCTGCTTGAAAGGGGTGCTGAAAGATAAATACCTTGTGCACTTGGCTAAGCTCTGTAAGGCCGCATATATTCTTTTGCAGAATAGTGTGAGTCCGGCAGAAGTTCAGGAGGCCCATGCACTGCTTCTGTCTTATCAGTGTGATTATCAGGAGAACTTTGGTGAGGATAGTATGGTCTATCAAATTCACTTACTGGGACATGTTTGCAAGGGAGTGCTGCGGTTTGGTCCACTCTGGACCCACAGCCCCTTCCCTTTTGAAGCACAGAATAGGTATATGTTACAGATGTTGACAAGCCCATATAGTGTTGTTAAACAAATTGTCACCAGATATCTGTTGAACAGATCATTTCCAGATCTTTGTGTCAGCCTCACTACTAATGGTAATGTAGCTGAGTTTTGTGAAGAGACACTACAACGGCATCTAAAGGTATATGTGTACAATTCTGGGTGTTATTT